GGGCTCGGCCCGCCAGAGTCATCCGCAATTTTTCTGCTCAAAGTCCGGATTTGTTCCCGGGGACAGGGCTCCAGGGGCAGCGTGTTGTTCGTCCACTCCACTACGATGGAGCCTTTGGCAATGTCCTGCACTGTGATGGTGCTGCTGTTTCTGTCGCCAAATGCCAGAGCCAGCTTCTTCACCAGCATGATCTTCTTATTGATGTCGTTCACCACCGCATTGTGGTCCCCTTCCAGCCTGGCCTTGAACTTCACCGGAGCCTTGTCCCCCTGCGGGCGTTTGTGGACGTGGATTTCAAAAGCATCCACAGCAAAAAGCCCGCCTTTGTCGGTTGCGTACATGAAGTACTCGTGTTTCCCGATGTGGTTGTGGTCCGGCATGCCATACATGAGCTGGCTGGTGCTGTTGAACTGCACCCACGAATTCTCCTCTATCATCTGCTGCTCCTTCAGCTTCAAGGTCAGCTGCAGTTTGTCAGTGGTGGTATCTTCCTTGTCGTAGAAGGTATCCGATGGTATTTTAACCTCAAAGTAAGTGCCCTCCCATGCGTCGACCCTGTCGATGTGGTTTGTCAGCTTGGGTGGCTCGTTTGGCTCCCAGGGCCGGGGGATCCCGCTAGCAGTGGTGCGTACATGGGTCGGCGGAGAGGCTGTTGTCAGCTTGGAGATGGGGGATCTGGTCGTGCTGGGAGGCTTCGTCGGACGAGGCGTTTTGGGTCTTCGAGTAGGCCTTCGTGTCATCGCTGTGGAGGAATCTGTCGTGGACGGTGTGGCTGGCTTCAGAGTGGAGACCCTTGGTTTCTTGGTGGTGGTTGTGGGTGGTGTGATCACTGCCGTGGGCTCTACGTACCCAGGCATCGTAGGGCGAATTGGCACGGAGGCCGTGCCAGTGCCTTCTGCTACCCTGGTTGGCTGGATTGGTCCCAGAGTGGGTGTCTGGACGATGGGACCTCTCGTTCTGATGGTGACCGTAGGCTTCCTTGGCAGCGGTATGGGCTCCCGGACGGGGGGTGCTGTTGTCTCTGTGGGAGGCGCGATGGCAGGCGATGTCGGGGTGGGGACAATCCTCGCTGGCGGTTCTTGCGCGGCAGTGGTGGGCGGCCCAATGGCAGTCAAAGGTGTAGGGGTGGCATTGATCTGCCGCCGCATCCTCTTTGGGAGGTGAGGTTTCTTGTTAGCAATGTGCCAGCCAACAACAGGGTAGCCAAGGCGGGCAGACATGGTTCCTTCCTTAGCTGGAGCCTCCACCTTGCTGATGTTGGGGACACTGTTTTGGCTCAGAGAACATCCCAGTTTCCATGAGAGTAAGGCCCCGTTTTCCACCACCTTCTTTGCATTTCCTGGTCCAGCCATGAAGGCCGACATGTCAAAGAGTCTGTTATTTACAACAGGAACCAACTTCATGTTGTGAAGTTCCACCTCCGAGAAGCTTCTCATTCTGTTTAAGAGTTCAATCCTCTGCTTTGGTGTCATTTTTGTTAAGTCGGCATCCAAAATGACAGTCAGGATAGTGACTGGCTCTTCCGAGCCACACACAAATGGCGCTGCATCACCGGTGTCTTGGATGGCTGCTCGCACCGACTGAGGCTCGTTGTGGTCTTCTTGGTGGACCTCAACGGAGAAGACGTTTGTGGTCTGTGGCACGTAGCTCCCGTTCGGGAAGGGCTGCAGCGTGGTCACCGAGATGTAGTGGACGCCCTTGTCCGTGTCAAGGGGCAGCCCTTCCAGGGAGCTGCTCTCTACATTCCAGTGTAACCAAGAAGGCAAGGAGTCCTTCCCAGCTTCGGAGATCTACCAAACAAAACAAAGACGGTGCTTTTAGAAGTACATCGTTAGGACAGGTGCTAGCAGCAATAACGCTAAAGAATTAAAGAAAAAAATCTGAAGCCTAACAACTGGGGAAGGAACATCCTGGCCAGAGGAGGGCAGACCCTATCTCGCCCTCCGCGTGGTGGCAAGGACAAGCTCTGCAGGGTGCACTGGTGCACTGCTCCCAAAAGGCTTAAGGAGCCACGGGAGGTCATAAAATCCCGCAAAGGTCCCTCGCCTGCAGGCACTGTCTCTCTAGCGCTTACTGTGCAACTACTAAGCACAAGTGGTTCCTTTTCCCCGAGGGCAGAAGGGGAGTTTAAGTCACAGGGACAGCTACAAAGCTGAGAGTGAAGTTACGCCACACAGCAGAGCTGACCCAACAACTGCCTCCTTCCCACTCCTTCCTCTCTCATCCCTCCAGTCTCCCTCCTTTCCCCACCTGATCACACCCTGCAAGCCCATTGCTCCAGCAGCTCAGCAGAACATATGTTTTCCCCATTAACTTTCAGCTTTGTCCTGCTGTCCCCAACAGCCAGCCTGAGCTGGAGGGGCCAGAAGCTGGCAAACTACGGCTCAGAGTCCCCTGCCTGGTTGGAGCACACCAGCTCTCAACAAGCAGCAGCAAATCCCGAGAACTACACAGCCGCTTTAAAACAGGGTGTCCTCCTGCACTGCCAGAGGAACGGCGAGCTGGGGACGGAGGGGAGCAAACCCGACATCTGGTCAGTGCGGCAGTGCGAGGGCCAGGGTGGGCAGGCAGGGACGCGGCACATGGGCTGGGGCACTGCTGGACATCACACAGGACGGCGTGCCGGTCTGCCTTTATACTCAGAGTTAGGTTAAAATGAAGGATTTCAATTTCATACAATAATGTGCTTCTGCAGACTACAAACAACGGGCAGCTTTGGCCCAGACCGCAGGCACCTCAGGACTCCAACGTGTTATTTATTACCTCTTTTAGGTCAACAGTCACACTTTACTTTTTTACACAACTTGTGGCACAGATTAGCAAAGCGTGGCCTGAGAGCCCAAGCCTCCCCTTCAAACCGTGTGGCCCAACAGCAGGGGCAACGCACACCAACGACAGGATTTCCATACGCTCCAGAGGAGGAGTGATCCTGTGGTAACCTCACCGGCTGCCTCCTCTTCCCAGTTTATCCATTTGTGCCTTTCTGAGCCCACCCTCCTCTTCCAACTCTGGGTCTCCTTCCCTGCCAGCCCAGGTCTCCTGGCCGTTCTGCTCATGTGGAGAAGACCCCGGTTCTCTCTGAAATGACACCAGCACAGCTGACACCCCGCCAAGGTGCTCCCTACCCCGTGCAGGGGAAAGCCACACGTGTCAGAGCCCAGGGGACTCGTGCCCTGGGCTGTAGCTGAGGGTGGCTGCAAACCCCCAACTCCCCCCGTTCCCAGCAGCTGATGTCCATCTGTCTGTGCTACAGCCGCTCGCAGATCACAAGGCACAGCAGAGCTGCTCGGGCCGCATGGTGGAAGGGTTGACACTGCCAGCTCGGTGGGCTGTGACATTTCCCAGGGCTGTTGGTACCCCAGGGTGAGTAACTTGAGCTTCGCCACCTCCCAGGCTCAGAGACATTTGGAAACTGCCCTGGCTGGGCTTTCCAGAGCTCGCCACGAGGTATCTGTGCCCCATACTCGGAGGAAACAGGATGTTTTGGGGCCCATGGAGACACGTTTAGCAGCCTGGTTAGGGCTCTGGGCTCGCTGCAGTCCAACGCAGAGCTGCGC